AATAGATAGATAAATATAGTGCCATGCTTAAAGACTAAAGGCACGCACTGTGGAGAACTGTATGAAGATTTACTTTCCTTTTAAAAAATTGATTAATTTATTTTAGATACAGTTCCATAGGCTCCAGGACTTCCCCTTCCCACCTCGTCTCCAATAATTTCCCCTGTTTTATTGCAATAATATAGCACTTCAGAAAACACTCATAGGTCCGTTGGTCTGCTATTTAAGTATATCCTGACATTGTAGGTATGGACCATGGCAGAAAGTCCAGGATGTCCTTGTCAAGATATATTTAATAGTTTCGTTGTGTGTCCATTTTAATTTGGAAGTAGAGATACATACCGCACTGTATTTTCAGATCTCCATATGACAGTCTCTATTTTACAGATCCTCAAGATGACTATATGTACAAGTATGTTTACCTATACATCTGATGATCTTGTGTTTTACATGAAGGTTGCCTTATATCAGAGAGAACATGATATTTGTCCTTTGGTGATTGACCTAATTCACTGAGCTGTGTGGAGATTTATTTTAAAACTAGAAATAGACCTGCAATATGATTCAGCAATTCAGCTACTATGTGTAAACCAAAAGATATGAACGCTTTGGTGCAGGTACCTGTACCGCTATGTTTACAGCAGTCCTGTTTATGACAGCTAAGATAAGGAATCTGCCAAGATGTCCATATCAGGCAAGTGCATAAAGAAAATGTGATATGTGTACATATAGATACAGTATATATATTAGAAACGTTATTCAGCTACAAAAATGGAATTCTATTATGTGCATCAAAATGTTTGCAAGAGGAAAAGATCATGTTGCATGAAATAAACTAGAAACAGAAAATAAATCCACATTTCTCCCTTATATGTGGAAACCAACATTTTTAAAAATCAAGGAATGAAAAAGGAAAAAAATGCTTGGGTGTATTAATGTTGCTACAAAAACAATGTTTTGTGGGGGGAAAAAAAGGCTAAAGGCATAGAATATAAGGAGAATGACCCAAAAATGCATAAGTATAAAAGACATCATTATTCCCAATGAAATAAAGTGTTGGTGTTTTGTTTTATTTCATCTTTAAAATGAATAACCTTTGATACATTAACTCAATATTTTAGAGAACAGCTGTTAATGGCCATGTGAGGAGCAAGACTGAGAAGTAAACTTGCTAGGTAAACTTTTGAAAGCAGTGATCATTACTTATGTTGGTGCTCCTGTTGAACCAAAAATAAAGTGCTTAAAAACAAGTAAGAGTTTAAACTGGGGTGGGAAATACAAGTCCATGCAGAAGCTATGGCTTGGGGCTTGTCCTGCAGAATTATATCATGTTACCTGACATGATGATGGATCAGGAGAAGGGTCATATTAAGCAAGCCATTACATTAACTAGCACTCAAAAACCATAACCGGGGGTAACTTCTGTGAGGGATGTGTGGGCCACATCCAGTGAAAATTCTAGCCCCACTGGTTATCTCAAGAGTTGGGGTGATGGACTAAGCTAGGTGTGACCAAGGAGCCTGCGATCAATTACAGGTAAAGGAACCCCCAATAGTCTGGACTAGTCAGGGCAGCAGCACCCGAATGTGCATCCTGATTAGGGTGTGGGGTGGGCCGGGCTGCAACGTTCACCAGCTCATACATGGCCAAATGAAAGGCCAGACTGCACCAGGCACTGGCCTAAACCCAATGACATGTATGAGAACTGGGTCTGGGAGTGGATTAAGTGGAAGAACTTGGGAAACTCCCTTGGCTAGTCATAGCTCCCGCTGGTGAACATGTGGTCCAGACCTGGGGGTCAGACAAGCTGGGAAAAGTAGCTCCAATAGCTGGCTAATGTGTCAACTGGTAATGGAACAGAGTAGATCAGGCAGGACTGAGCAAACCTTAGCCCACAAGCAAAACTAGAAACCAGGAGGGAGCACAGGTCATGCTGAGCTAGGCTCTTGTACCTACTGGTCCACATGAGCCAGGGACGCTAAGCCACAGTGTCTAAGGCAGAGGTCAAGACAGGTGAGGAGCTGTGCCAAGCTGAGTCAGAGCAACCACTGGCATGTGAGTGATCTATGGCTGGGAACAGGCCTGGTTGGGGAGCTAAGGGGACAACCCTAGCTGGGTTGAGGTTCCTGCCAAGGTGCGTGTGACCTGGAAGGGGGGCTGCATTCTGATCTAGAAACAGTTTTAGTCTCCCTTGGCACAAGTGTGGACTGGGATTGGAGGCACCGAACCGGGCCAGACCCCAACACCTTCTGGTGTCCTGGAGGACAAGGACAGATGTGCGATGGACTAGGAAAGGTCTCAAACCCCTACTGAGCCATGTGTGAGCCATATGTGGGTATGGACAAACCATGACTGGGCTGAAACATCCAACAGCAAGAACCAGATTGGGTTGAAGGCCAGTCAGGAAAAGCCACAGTTCCTGCTATGACAGGAGGTGGACTGAGTAGTGGCTCATGGACCCACTGGTAAGCGTGAAACCTGGCATTGGGAGAGGTTCTGATGGAGGAGCCTGGGCAACTCCTCTGGCAGTACACAGACCCAGCAGGTAAGCGCAAGAAACATGATACAAAATAGCCCAGAACAGGCCCTGGAAAGTTACCCACTGGCATACAATTGGCAGACGTGGGGGCAAGACCAGGCTGAATCTGTCCACGTCATCCACTGGCAAATCCAAGCATCAGTGTGGGTCGAGCCACGTTCGGTCGCAACAAAGACTAGTGCACAATACGGAATGCCCAGGTGAGGTTGCCTGTACCGGAAGGGACCGCAGCGCCCAACCAGCGTGAGAACAAGGAAGGAAGGGGGCAGAGCCAGCAGGGGAATAAGGGAGGGTTCCTTTGCTGGACAGCTGCTCCCGCTGGAGAGCATAGGCTGGGATGGGGGCAGACCAGACTAGCCAGGACAACACCTGTGCGCCTCATGTGGACTAGATCATGGAAAAGCCGGGCTGGGCTGATTATTCCTACTGGTGCAAACAAAATTAGAGTGGGTGAGGGTTGTTTGGGCTTAGACGCAGCATCTGCTGGAAGAAGCTGGCACTGGGGGCTAGTTCTGTCAAGTCAAACCACAGAACTATCTGGAGAGTGCATAATCTGGGAGTGGGAGAGGCCTGGGAGGGAAATAGTGGGCTCATTCCTCTTGGGTTACCACTTCCACGGGAGGACATAAAACTAAGACAGCGGCTGGGGTGGAATGGGATGTGGGACAGACTGGATTACTGCTACACATACTGGCAAACCAGGGTAGGGGGCGGGCCTGGTGGGGGTTATTGCAGGTCGCTCCAACTAGGCTGAAGCTCCCACTGGTTTATGTGAAGGCCAAGTATGTGCTGAGCAGAACCAGGCTGGACTGCAACACCCATTGGTTCCAGTGGAAGTCGGGAGTGAAAACAGAACCAACCCAGCAATTACAGCCACCAGATGATCAGGGCAATGGACTGTGCCGGGCCCTGTACTTGCTGGCACATACAAGAATCTGGTTTGAGAACACCTCAGACAAAGTTTCTTTGGAGATCTTCCTAATCTAAATGCTGGACTCAGAACCCCAACCAAGAAAAGAGAGAAGACAGAACAGGTCAACCAACCATCTCAGCTACGATGGACTATGTCAATCAATGGATTTTTCAAAGACATAGTGCTTGGAGTGGCAAGATTGGCAGCGATTCATAACTGTTGAAATATCAAAACCACTTGAGCAAAACCTCAGAGCATGCTCTACATCCGGGACCTGGGGAGGGTGGGAAATTGGGTGGGCCTTCTCCCTTAATACCCTCCTTTAAACATGAAGGAAATAATATGGAAAAAATACTAGTCTTATCCACTTTCCTGTAGCCCTTGAACCTTTTTACCCTAATTAACTATGTAAAAATTGTCAAAATAAAAAAATAAATAAGGAGAAAAAAAAATAAACTGGGGTGGGGCAGAGGACATGGCATAAATATGAGACCCAAAGATCAGAGAAGGTGATCCTTGTTATGGGACCATTTGTACCTGCATGTGGAGTTCATATTGGTATCTAGCTGAAAGACCATTCAGGAAGACATCTTTACTTCAACTTATGTAGGTTTTAATATTATTTGGTTGTCCAATGCTATATTGCTTCATTAAGTACAGAAGAGATTTAAAAAGTTGTATAACTGTATTTTTAGAAATAGCTGACTATGGGCCCGGCGCGGTGGTGCAAGTGGTTAAGTCCTCGCCTAGCACGCCCGGGATCCCATATGGGCGCCGGTTCTAATCCCGGCAGCCCCGCTTCCCTTCCAGCTCCCTGCCTGTGGCCTGGGAAAGCAGTCGAGGACGGCCCAAAGCTTTGGGACCCTGCACCCGCGTGGGAGACCCGGAAGAGGCTCCTGGCTTCGGACCGGCATAGTATCGGCCCGTTGCGCTCACTTGGGGAGTGAATCATCGGACGGAAGATCTTCCTCTCTGTCTCTCCTCTCTGTATATCCGCCTTTCCAATGAAAAAAATAATAAAAATAAATCTTTAAAAAAAAAAAAAGAAATAGCTGACTAGATCCTTTCACCAGTCATCAAAGACAAGAAAAGACTAAAGAACTAGCAGGATGAAGAAGATGAACTACTCAGTACAATGGAGGATCCTGGAATAGATCCTGGAACAAATAAAGAACTTTAATGGAAACACCAGGAAATTTCACATGAAATGTGTAATTTAATTCATATACATACTAATGTCAATAGCTTAGTTTTCTTCATTGTTTTAGAATTACACAGGTGTTAACAAGGCAGAAACTGAAAGTGGACTCTTTCAGTAAGGAAACTCTCTATACCATGCCCACGCCTCTTCTGTGAGCCTAAAATCAATGCAGAACAAAACAGAAAAGAATCCACAGTGAAGTATCTGGTGGCTCCCAAGGGTACTCCCAAGCAGCACTGTGATTAGCAGCTACTGAGGAACGTAGGAGCGAGTGCAGCTTTTTCAGAAGCACTGGCATCGCTCTGAGAGTAACTCCTATCCTTGTCTCCCCTCCTACCCCTCTGCAGGGTGTGCTGGGTGCACCATGTCACCGGCATGTGGGTGTACCCTTTCCTGGAACACATTGGCCAGGGAGCTAGAATCATCTTCTTTGGATTTACAACCATCTTAATGAACTTTCTGTACCTGCTGGGAGAAGTTCTGAACAACTACATTTGGGATACGCAGAGAAGTAAGTATTACTGGGGGAAGGGAACATAAAACAGGAGACATACTGCCTGTGAGAGCATGCACAAAGATTGAGGGAAAATTCCACTGTAGCCTTCTTTCCTATCTTTCACACGGGCTCTCTTCAGAAGAGGTTCATCTTTACAACTCCAGCACTAATTTAACAACCTCTGGCAGTTTCACCTCAAAGGTTGACTGCCCACTTAGTTTTATTGGGTAATGAAACATCCCAAAGAGAAAAGGAATGTGTCTATAGAATTTTATAGGGAAAACAGCATTAACAGGAAAAATATGGGGGACTTTTGTCCTGATTAACAAAATGCTTAGTTAAAGGGACAAGGAATTAAATTGAGAAGTTATTAAATGCAACCGAGCAACTTCATTAAGTGTCACCCAGATCACCACATTCTGTGTCATCTATTGTGTGGCTGGAATCACTTCAGAGGGGTGTTGCCCACATTCCACTGAAGCTCTCATCAAGAGAGAGTGGTCGTGGCCACTATTTCTCTGGTGGCTGTCCTGTGGAAAGTTGGCAGTGGTAAAGGATTGCTGCTGAGAAGGCTGTTTTAACCAATGCCTCCATTTCTCTCATTTCATGTATGGCAGAGCCTCCAACTTGTCAAGGCACCTAATCTATATCCAAGCTGTGCACGACCTGTCCAGAGCGTATGTAAGATCATGTAACAGTCGGAAGGTGGACAAAATGACAAACAAACAATGTAGAGATTTGGGCCCGCTCCAAAAACACATTCAAAGACCAGCTGGTCTGCGGATTTTTCAAGAGCTCTGGACATCTTTGACCAAGTCCTGTCATTCTAAATATCCCTAGTTGATGGACTCCATTCCACCAACCTTGTATCAGACCTCATGCCAAGAGCTCATTTCCATTTCCATCAAACAAAACACTTGCACTCCATGGTTGCTCAACCAGAGGTGTGTGTGTGTGTGTGTGTGTGTGTAAGGGTGTATGCATCAAGGGATTAGCTGCCATTCAACAGGCCAGAGGACGCTTTCTCTTCTCAACAGCTTTTCATTTTAATAACTGGTCTGTTAGAAAATGTGTCCAAACTTTTTATTCAGCTCAAAACACAGCTTGGAGGACCAGAAATTAATCTTTTAACAATGCTCTCCACTCGGTGATATAAATAGCAATCTTTCTCCATGAGTAATTTTATAGATGTATTTGCTAAACTTACAAAACATTTTGAGAGCAAAATACAAACTTTTCTCAGTTTGCCGGAAGAGGAGCTGCATTTAAATTCCAAATAATATATTCAGTACTTGTTATCAGGAAGTACTCATGACTGCCCATTTTCCCTGGATTTATTTAATACTGACAAGCAGTGGGTCATGTTCCACTACTGCTATGAGAAGTTGAGCTATAGACGGGAAGGACAAAGATCCAGTCTAGATTAAACAAATCCTGCTTTGTATCATCCATATTGAGAAGTTAAAAATGAACAATGAAAACAGAGTTTTGCAAGTGATCTGTGTAATGTCATTTATACCTTTTCTGAAGAAGCACCACTTAGGACTGACCAACCTTTTATAACTCACTTTGGAAATGCAGATTAATTCTGTCCATGTTTACTTAGTGACTCCAGAGAAACTGTTGTTTTATGCCCAGTGGGCATCTACCTCATTTATGCAAAGGGTCAAGCCTGGCGCCATAGCCTAATGGCCAAAGTTCTCACCTTGCATGAGCCAGGATCCTGTATGGGCACCAGTTTGTATCCTGGCAGCCCCACATCCCATCCATCTCCTGACTTGTGACCTGGGAAAGTAGTAGAGGACAACGCAAAGCCTTGGGACTCTGCACCAATGTGGAAGGCCCAGAGTAGGCTCCTGGCTCCTGGCTTCGGATCAGCTCAGCTCCAGCCGTTGTGGTCACTTAGGGAGTAAATCAATGGACGGAAGATCTTTCTCTTCTGTCTCTCGTCCTCTGTGTGTATCTGACTTTCCAATAAAAATAAAATAAATCTTTAAAAACAAACAAAAACGATCACAAGCAAATGGCCTTTCCCCAGTTTCATCCATCAAAAACTTTTGTTAGACCTGCAAAGCACTATTTTTGTTTTCAAACAAATGTCTCAAAATGGGGAGATTATACCTTACAGCTAGACTTTTAGCTTCTTATCAAATATTTGAAGATCCCAAAAACCAAGTCCAGTAATCTGCTAGAACAAGGCTTGAACATCTGTTGCCCTCTTTAAAAGGTTTTCTGATTTCCCCCTCATTCTCACGTGGCCACTATGATCATATTAGTTGTCTTGTTCTGTTGTATTTGGGTATGAAACTGTTGATTGAGTGCATTGTATGTGTTTGTGTGAGAATGAATTGAGTACATGGAAAATGATGTTATAATCAATTACTATATGCCAACTACTACAAATTTCCCTAGGAAGAATGACTGCTTCATTTCAACCATCTTTCTTCTAGAATGGTTTTTTTAGTGCTCAGCTTTCCCTACTTACTTAATCTATGTCAGTGATAACTTCAAGAAAAAAAAAAACTATATTATTACAGAATCTTGCCCTTGCAAAGGAGACTAAAAATCATGTAAACTGGTCCTTTCCTTGCACTGAAGCCAGCTTAGGTCTGTGAATCTTAAGTGACCACTAAACAGGTGATGGCAGAACCAATTCCTTCCACCCGCCACTGTTGTTTCTCTTGGGCCATCAGAATGCCCTGTTTGGGAAACCCAGGCACAAAATAGCTCAGAGATGTCACTGAAAACCATAGACCTAGGACCAACTGGATGTGAAGTATAAGCCTTAAAAAAAACACCTTAAGACAAGCTAAATTAATAACTACATGTTTCCTCTTTCTAAATGAAGAAGTAACTCAGGATGGCTTTGTGGAAGAAATCTCAGTTCATTGGTGCTGCCATAGCAAATTACTAAAAAGTAAGCAAATCAAAGATTGACAGAATTTGTTCCTTGTGATAACTATGAGGGAATGATCCTTTCCAGGCTTCTGTCCTTGATTTACAGTTATCTTTAGGTTCACCTGCTAGCTTCCATACATGAGACTGTCTCACAATTTTCTCTTCTTGTAGGGGCCCAGTTGATTAGGGCCCTCCAAGTAGCCTTGTTTTAAATTTCTAAAGCCCTGTGGTCAAAACAAGTGCCCTTTCTGAGGTACTGAAGATTAAGACTTCAACATACAGATTGGGGAACATGACTCAATCCACAACATTTCACCCTCTCTTAACATTCATGCCCTTTACACATGCCAAAATATGTATACCTCATCCCAGTGACCCCAAAATTCTTTTGAACGTCAACTGTAAATGCAGAAATATCTCATTTGAAATACATCAAATATTAGTGACACTTTGGATAGGATTGCTCCTGAAGTAAATAGGTTTTTATCAGCCTGTGAAGTCTGCTAGTCATAGAGTGATGGGGCAGGCGTGAGGATATACGCCCTCATTGCAGAAGGCAAGGTAGAAGGGTCATGCTTTCCAAGCAGTCCGAAAGCTGGAAGGGTAAAACCGTCATTAGATTTTAAAACTTGAGAGTAATCCTTGTCTGGACACTCTGTTCTCAGTGCTTAGCAGGCATGGGGCTGTAACCTGCTTTCCTGGTTATTGATAATGATAGTCCAACCCTCCAGAACAAGGGAGAAGCTAATCCATGAATCATCATTGGAGCCTTTTGCCCTTGACATCGTTTTACCTCTGTCCCTGTCCCTCAGTCTAGGCTGATTGTGATCTACTGGTAAAAAATTCATACATACACACACACACACACACACACACATACACAAATGTGGTCAGCATTATGGTCCAGTGGGTTAAACTGCTGTCCACAACATTGGCATTCCCATATGGTGCCAGTCTAAATCCTAGTTACTCCAGTTCCAGTCCAGCTCCCTGCTAATGCAGCTGGGGAAGCATTGGAAGGTGGTCCAAACACATGGACCCCATGTGGTGAGATTTGGATGGAGAGCGCAGCTCCTGATTTCCACTCAGCCCAATCCCAGCCATTACAACCATTGGAGTAGAGAACCAATAGATGAAAGCTATCTCTTTTGTGTATCTCTCTTCCTCTCCCTGGACCTATGCCTTTGCAATTAATAAGTCTAAAGAAAAAAAAATATCAGAAATCACATTAGGCTTTCATGCAGGTTATGTAGGTTCAAGTTGAACAGGGAATTCTTGGCAGATCCTCACTGGATAATCCCCTCTCTATGTTTACCTTCTTCACAGATTATCAGATCTATGATCCACATATCTAATTTCTTTAGCAACTGGTTCTCCAGTCACATTTTGGAGCTGTCTCACATTGAAGTAGTGAGTGATGGTTACGACTTCAACATATGGACTTGGGGGCAGGGAACACCAATGAACCAATAAGCTAGCATGTTTCAGTACAACAACTAAGGAAATAAGCCAGTTCTAATGAATCTGGCAAGGGTGAATCATCCTATTCAAGTCCAGAAATGAAAGTGTCCAAAGGAGACAGATCAAGGAGAAAAGTGAGAGAAGGTCAGTGTCAGGCTGAGGTGAACAGAGAGCTCACCACCTTCTCCTCCAACCATATACCCAGACCAGCAGGCACGCCAGTGTCAGGGAACTGTTCCCACTGTGCCCCTCTCCCAGACAGAGGAAAGCAAGGTGACTGAATCCTTCGGCGTCATCAGCGTTGTCCCTCCTGTTCCCACAAGTGAACCCTGCCTCAGTTTTCTGGCAGGTTCCTTTGGGTGTTTTATGTAGAAATGATGGCTCTACTTTGTCCAAACATTATTTACAAGTATCTGATATTTCCCTCTGCCTCACAGCTGCCAAATTCCAGTAGGTGGGGATCCATTTTCTCTCGTTAGGTCAATGAAAAGCCCTGTTCTCCTCCCTTCCTCTTTTGAAGATTCCAACATCGCTGCCAATACAGCCCATCTGTGACTGAATGTGTTAGAAGAAACGGACTTTAAAAAAAAAAAAAAGAAGCAGCAATAAACTGCTGTTAGCCTCTGAGAGCTTCTCCACAGGACTTGGGACCCAGGTCATGCATGCTATTTGCGTGATCTGAGTGTGCCTCCTGGCTCTGCCCTGGTCAGCCCACAACTAAGGCAGTTCATACCTTTTCCTTTCCAATGCCCTTACTCATTGACTGGAACTTTTCCTTAATATGATTTTCTAAGTCTTTTGGAAAAAGTGTTAGCAGTCTCTGCCAGTTCCTTAGTCATGGAAGCCAGACCTAAAAGACCTTCTGAGAATAGACACCTGCTGAGAGCCATTATCCACAATTACAGCACGCCCCTCTTAACTCCTCCATGCATGTACTGGGAGCCTAGTCGGGAACCCTTCTTACCATTATGACCCTCTGGCAATTGTCATTTTTTATACTGTGTGGTCTCCCTGTTTGTTCTGCTGCTTTCCCATGAGTCCAGCCTTTAAAGGTCTTCTCTGTGTATTCATATGTTGATTGATTCAACAAAGATGAGTTCCACTCCTATCATGAGACAGACACTGTGTTAGGGATGTAATCAGGGACAGAACAATTAAAGCCTCTGCCCTCAGAGAGCTTGCGATTTACGACAGTACACCAGCACAACCTGCACTGTGCTTTTGTTTGGTTCTATCGTTGCTATTGAAGTAAGCAAACAAAAAGTCTAAGAATTCAGTAAGATTAGAAAAATGCTTAGCCGCAAGCAAAAGAAAAAAAGAAGCAGGAGGCACTTGCCAGATTTAACTGTAATTCACAAGAATGACATGAACATTTTTATCTCCAGGAAAATGAGACAGCTCTGCCTATTCATTACCGACAACAGGCAAAGATCTTGCCGGTTCAGTACACGCCACTCCTTCAGGGAGAAAAGCATAGTTCTACCAGGTTTGGGTTGAATAGAGGGAGACGTTGGGTTGAAGCATACATGGGTACGAGAATAACCAGCTCTTGTGGCTTGTAAGCTCTCTATGAGTTTTAAAAAGGAAAAGGAAAATCCGGAGTGGAAAGGGGCAGAACTAACGTTAAAAAAAAAAAGTCTGTTTAAAATTTACCAGCTGCACATCTCCTGCTGCTGGAAATTGGTTACACATCAATGTGGCTGGGGTGTCCATGCACCCTCCATGTAGAGGAAACTTCAGTTGGCAGCCAGTCCTCACTGCTTGAAGCCACTGGAGCAGGGCAGTGTCCCTGAGATCTTGTGTCCAGTTTTAGGAGATGATGTGGAGAGAGATCACCGAGGATGTTTCTGGAGAGAGGAAGTGGGGACGACAGATGGATGGGAAGAAATGTGAAGAGATGAGGGCTGCTGTGAGCATCTTTGCTTACGTTAATCTGCCTGTTGCTCTAGGTATGGAAGGAGAGAAAGAGAAGCCCAAGTTGGAATGAGAGCCAAATCTAAATGGAAGACCTGAATAAGCTGCCGTGGAAGACTCCTTCCTCCCTCACCCTGGGCCTGGGAATGCTCGATACAGAGCTTTGGGGTTGAGGAGGGGATACCTTTTATATATAAATATGTATAAAAATAGAATACAGTTGTTTCCAGAATAACTTAGATTCACTGTGTTTTAAGGAATTCTTTCCAAATTTATTATTGAAATGACATTTTTTTTCTCCAGTTTTCAAACTATAATTGTGTTTTCATTTTGGAATTATAATTCCATACAGTCAAGAAAGAATAAATTTTGATTGTGTTTCTTATTGAGAAATACATTAAAAGCAGAGGGGGCAGCTGTAGCGCTAGATGTGTGTATGTATATGGAGTCCTAAAGGTGGCTGGAATAATGAGGTCGGCCCAGGGGGTTCAGAGAAAGAATGCATACTTCATACTGCAATAATGTCACAATTGCCTCAAATGAATATTGTTAGTGGTAACGATGTTTGGATCTGTTGACTTAATCTTGTGAAATTCTTCCTAGATGTAAACTTGAATAAAGACCCAACAGCCCCATTCCTGGTGTTCAAGTGGGGCCTCCCAAAGTCCTGACTGTGTCTGCTTTCTTATTTTGCTGTTTTATTCTATGTCCTGTTGAAAGTGGCTTCCTGGATCAGGTGCTCTCTTATGGTTTCTTTGTTTTTAAAAAGGAATTTTTCTATCATTTCAGAAAATATCTTTGTTTAAAAAGCTAATTTGCAAAGTCTAGGTATATTTAGAGTAAAAAAAAGGAATTGTTATGTAAATTATAAAACATTACATAAAAGAAATATAGATGCTCATTGTCCATGATAAGAGAGGTCAATTAGTGATATAAAATCATTCACTTGAAAAATAAATTCCATTTTAACTGGTAAAATTAAGAAATACTAGAAATCTCTCTCCCCTCCTTTGACTGTCTACTCTCCTACAGACACACACACACACTCTCTTTATGTTAGTTTTCCTAACTATAGCCAGTTCCTCAGTGAGACTTGGTGTTCCCATTGCCACTGCCAAGATCCCTGTATTTACCTAAAATTCAGAAAGAGGATTCTGGAGTGTCCCTCATCATTTGTTTACAGATGATTCAGAATAGGTACCCTTTTGTGTGAACAAATGTGCCCATCCTTACACTACACACACTCAATTTTAACAAGCTAAATCACCAAAATTTCAACCAGGGAGACAAAAATTCAGATGATGATTGTGTAAAAATGCCCTATGACGTATCGTGACAGAATTCCAGCCAAAGATATCTGTTAGGTTGAAAATACATATTTTTAAAAATATTTTCCAACTGAATCAAAAAGGAAAGTGCAACAGAATGCTGTGTGGGCAAAAAACACAAAATGAAGAGTCTTGAAGATTGAGAATAAGACACACAAAAATAAACCTAAACTTGCCAACAGAAGGAAAGAAGGGTTGTGATTTTGATCTACTACAAGTCCCTCATGGTAGGTTGGCCCTGGATGCCTACGTCGAACGCACCATTGGGAGAAATGTGGACTGCATTCTAACAGAATCTTCATTTTTGTTCCCTAACTCATGAAATTTGGGGAAATTAAAGGAAAAGATCCTGAAGAAAACCACCCAGAAGTGACAAGCAAAGCAAGGCTGCAGTTTTAGAATAACGCCCCAATTAGTGCCACTGTCAACACCTGACAAGTCCAGATGGCTAGCTGAACCCACTACATCTGCCTTACCTTTTGACCTGTTATGGTTTTGTATCGGCCCCACATTCCTATGTTGGAGTCCCTTTCCCCAGGCCCTCAGAATCTGACTACTATTTGAAGACAAGACCTTTACCGACACGGATAGATTAATGGAATGTGGGGGCAGGACTGGGTGGGTTGTGTCTTGATCTAATCTGACTGCATCCTTACAAGACGATTGGGACACATGGAAACATGGAAGCAGGCACAGGTGAAACCACAGTAAAATAGAAGGCAGACAAACTTCTATCTGTTGCTTCACTCCCCTAAAGGCTTGAAACAGATGGGGTTGTACTACGCTGAAGGCAGGAGCAGGAAACTCCATCTACATGGATGGTAGGGGCCCATGCTTGAGTCACAGGGTTACCTCCTAGTGAGGTAGTTGGAAGTGGAAGCAGGGAGGAGATTCACACCCAGACGAACCAGTGGCATACACATGTCCACAGCAGGTTCTTAACTGCTACACCAGTGCCTGCCCCAAGTGAATTTAAACACATATGTATAACGTGTTTTATCACCTATTCCTACTCTCCAAAAATCCAAGAACTTAGTGGCTTAAAACAACATTCCTTCAGACCCTGCACCTACAATGGAGACCCATAGGAAGCTCCTGGCTCCCAGTAATTCATCAGTTCATCTCTAGCCTTTGCAGCCACTTGGGGAGTGAACCAGCAGTTAAAAGATCAAGCTCTCTTTCTCTCTTGTTCTCTCTACAAAATATGCCTTTTAAATAAAAATAAATACTTTTTTAATAAAATGAAAATAAAAGACATTTGAGTAAAAAAAATCGAATCTATACCTTGTACAATGTACATTGATAAATTTTGAATAGATCAAGATTTAGCAGAATCAAGACGGCAATACAGGGTAAGCACACGTTTAAATGGAACAAAAAAAAACATTTAATCAGGATGAAGCAGAGAGAACACGTTCCATGAAATAGGAGAGGACAGAACAACAGCAGAGGGGTACCTGGAGACTGACAGACACAGGAAAGCAGCAGACACAAAGGTGAGGTGTTGCGGTGATGCATACTCCAGTGGCATTCAGCTAATGGTGATCTGAACTCCACCAGCAGCCAGAACTTCACCAGCAACCAGGTGGGAAGGGACTTTCACTGGGAGCTTGGGAGGTGAACCCAGAAGGGGAACTGTCCATCCTACTGGTCTGTTTGATTTGACCAGAAGCAGAGACAGAGCAGCAAATCCCAGATGGGCAGTGCAAGAACAGGGTGGATTTCACACCCCAGTCAGCGTCCTAGAGCCAAATTGGGTGCCATTCTGCAAAAGGAGACAAAAGCAAGGGAAAGGACTGAGCATGCGCTGAGCTGGGAGTGAACTCATTTCTGACTCAGTGAAATGCAACAACGTGGCATTCTACAGGTTCCAGCCAGAGCAGGTCTGGTAGCCCTCAACCTGATGGCCAGCAGATCAAGAACTATAGTAGGGGAATATCAGGTGTCATTTTGTACACTGTAGCTAAAACTTTAAAACTACAGGGGATAACAGTGAACTGTTCATGTGCTGAGCTTGTGAGAACTCACTGAGATCCGTGGATTGTACTGGTCCCACAGGAAAATAATGCTGACTGTAGCATTGTACTGGTCAAAATAGGTCCGTGTGGCACCCAGACCTAATGTCCAACAGGTTCTTGCAAGATCAGTGCCACCAACAACCTAGCTATATAAGACACCTGGTCTCTCCCTAATCCTGGGACCTGCTGCAACTGGAAGTGGGAGAAAGGTTGTAGAGATAATGGTGCAGCCTCTGCACGGTATCACAGGAGGTGGAGAGTGGTGAGCCAGGAGCTCGGGCAATGGAGACTATAATGAAAACCTAACATAAGAACCCAGACCTGGAACTCACTGGAGGGAGTGGCACAATTGGCTGCAAGCAAAGAATTGTGTACCAACTGCAATAAGTAAAATCAAACTATAGACCTGTGGGCGACACAGCTTAGAAACCTGCCCCAAGGAGAAGACTCTGCTAACCAGAAGTACAATGACCAGAAGTACAAAAGAAGAGACAAAGGCACAATGAATACTACTGAAAACTCCCCTGCAAAGGAGCAAAACCCTATGCCAACCTCAGAGTTCACTGAGGAAGACATCGAGAAAATGGGAACACAGAATCCATAAGACTCATTTTAAAGCTTCTGATCAACAATGAGAAGCACATACAAGAGCTCAAAAAATTTAAGGAATATTTTTCACAAGCAATAGCAGCAATAAAGCAAAGCAAGGCTGATATATCAGAAGTTAAGAACACAGTAGAGCAAATTAAAAGTACCATGGAAAGTCTCCAAAATAGAATGAAGCAAGCAGAAGAAAGAATCTCAGAATTGGAAGATATTTCCTGCCACCAGGGAGAAGCAAACAAAAAGCTGGAAACAGAGCTGGATCAGGCCAAAAAAATATGTATATATATTCAAGAATTGAAAGACTATGAAGAGGCCAAGTGTAAGAGTTATGGGAGTCCCAGGAGGTGCAGAAAGAGAAACTGGTTTTATGAGTATATTTAATGAAATAAGGGAAAATTTCCTTAATCTAAAGAAACAATTGGGAAACAACATCTAGGAGGGGCACAGAACTCCAAATAGGCTTGACCAAAAGCGATCTTCACCAAGACACATGATCATCAAGTTCTCTTCAATTGAACATAAGGAAAAGATCCTTAAATGTGCACGTGAAAAAAATCAATTGACATATAAAAGAATGCCAATTAAACCCACAGGAGATCTCTCACAGGAAACTCTACAGGCAAGAAGAGAATGGAGTGACATATTTCACATCCTAAAAGAAAAAGAGTTGTTGGCCTAGGATACCATATCCAGCAAAGCTTTCTTAGTCTTCGAAAATGAAATAAAACTCTTCCACAGTCAAGAAAAGTTACAAGAATTTGTCTCTTCCAAACCTGCCCTACAAATGATACTTCAAGATGTTGTCTTAACAGAGCAGAGGAATAGCACTTCCCAAAACCAAAGACAAATGGGAAGAGCATCCCAGTAAAATGACAACAGAAGACTAAACCAATGAACAGCCTATTCCTAAAATGACAGGACCAAAGTACCACCCATACATATTATCCCTGAATGTAAATGCCTTAAATTCAATCAAACGTCATAGATTAGTAGACTGGATTAAAAAACAAAACAACATCTATTTATTGTCTAGAGGAGACACACTTCACCAACAAAGATCAGCAGAAACTATATTGCATGAGTTTTGATGTTTTCTGTTAGTTTCATCTCTTAAAACACTTCCTTCTGATTAAATTCTTCAATGACTCATAGATCATAGAGCAGCATTATTTTCTGCAAGAAGGTTCTTGATTTTCATTTCTTCAACTACATGTTAAGCTTTTTGTAACAATGTTATTTAACTTCATGGTGTTGTTCATTTCTTTTTTCTCTCTGATGTTGATTTTGTTTTGTGGCTTTTCATTGAAGGGGATGTATAGTATCTGTGTAATGGAGACTGTCATATCTAGTAACATGTCATTTAACTTCATGGCATTGTAGTTTTCTATTTTTCTTTCTATTGTTGATTTTGTATTATGACTTTTCATTTGAGAGGATATACAGTAGCTGTGAAATGGAGACTGACATATCCAGATGTGAGGATACAATGTAGTATGCATTTCTACTTCCACACAAAGATGGACTTACAATGAAACTGTTTACTATATCTTAACAATAGGACTCTGCCATTGTCCATGCCCACAATGATGGACATAGGACTGTGTATGAAGAACTATGCTTTAGTAATGATATAGAGGAACTAGGCGGGGGGGGGGGGATGAGGAGGGCGATTGGGGCAGGGAT